GCCTTTGCATTTTCTCTGAGCACCCTGCTGTAAACCACACACGCGTATGCCCTTTCAGATGAATCACAGAATCCATGCAACTCCAATAGACTGTTCTTCTGTGTTCCAAGCCATCTTGGTACTTGAATTTTATCTATAGCTGCAATCTCAGACTTAATCTTGTTCCATTCTAAATTTGTTTCGTCGGGTATTATGTCATCCCATTGAAGGTTTAGCTGCCAAATTGTTTGAAAAAGGATTTTTAATTTAGTTGTTACAGGTGCCAGCCATCCCAAGGGGTCAAAAATTTTCGAGATGTTTGACAGTAAGCTTCTTTTTGTTGTCTTTTGTGGCGTTGGGTTAATTTTCGACTGAAAGGTGAATATATATTGTTTCGGTTTCCAACGAAGCCCCAAGGTTTTTGTTGAATCGGCGTGCTTAAATTCGAAGCTGTTGTCACCTTGATTGTTGCTATAATCTTGTAATGATAATTCGGGTTTGTTGAAGTTCCATTTTCTCAAGTTGAAGCCACCTGACTTGAGAAGCTGAATTAAATCTTGTTGAAGTTTTATTGTTGAGTCAATAGAATGCCCTCCATGAAGCACGTCGTCCATGAAGAAGGACTCTTCTAAAACCTTAATAGCATCGCTGTTATGGGAGTACTTCGATTTTTCATCTTTCGCCAGCTGTTTCAGCGTCATCATTGCAAGAAATGGTGCAGCTTTCGTACCGTAAGTCCGTAAGTCACGGTACATAACTGAAATTCCTCTAATGTTGTTTGTGGTGAGTCTCTCCAGATGATTTTTTGCAGCTGTTGATCTTTTGGATTTAACCTTATCTGGCGAAACATCTGTTCCACATCTGCAGTAAATGCGAATTCGAACTGTCTCCATTTCAATAAAAAACCTTGAAGGTCATTTTGTAAGTTTGGTCCTGAAAACATGGTGTCATTGAGACTTGAACCGTTGATGTTTTACTCGAGCCATTGAAAACCACTCTCAGTGCCGTAGTTTGAGACTCAGCGCGTTCTATACCGTGGTAAGGTAAATAACATTGAAGTCGGCCGCCCGCGTCAGCCGGGTTTCAAATGTCCGAGCGTTAGGTACTCATTTATAAACAAACGATAATTATTAGCGAATATATTGTTTCTATTAAATTTTTGTTCTAATTGCATAAATTGCGCAAAGGCCTTATTTCTTGATTTGCCGATAAGCTGTTATTACCCAGGCTTGAGAGGCAGTCTGACCTCATATCTACCGTCCTGGTGTCTTTTTGTTGTTGTTTGGTAATAATCAATGCAGTACTGATCCTCTGATGATAAATTTGACTCTTCTGTTATATCTTCCGTTTCCCAAAATCGTTCTAAATTCTGTATGTTATTAACGACCACATTGCAATGATAAGTTTTTGTACAACCAGTCAGTATCCATCCGAGAGGTGTATTTTGTGCTATCGGCTGTGAAGTTGATGGATCTTCGTTTCTACATATACCACTCAGGATAATATTGGAATAAGTTTCTGCTCCCAGCAGAATGTCAATTGGTCGACTTATATTGAAGTCGGGATTGGCAAGCTGCATGTTGTTCAAAAATGGCCACGACATTTTCGAGAATGACTGATTTGGTAACTGTTTGATCAAAGTCTGCATCACAAAAGCTTGAGTATCAAAAGAGTAGCTCTCATCCATTGATGAGCATGAGAGATTGACAACACCTTTACAGCTGTTAGGTTTTACACCTATTCTGCAACCCTTGCAGTTCTGTCTCGGCAATGATAAGCGTAGAGCGGCATTTTCTGAAATAATCGACATTTGCGAGCCTTGGTCGATAAGAGCCCGCATTGATTTGAGGGACCCATCTGCGGCCCACACCTTGAGCATCGCTGTTGCTAATAATATCTCTGATGATTTATCGTTTTGTTGAGTAACATCTGGTACGCTGTTCTAGCCCTGTTGACGTGCTAGGTTTCGTCGTCACAGATTGCTTGACTGTTTGAGATGCAAATGCTTCATGTAGCATGGTGTTATGTTTACCATTGCAATCTCGACATCTTCTTTCGGAAAGACTTGATTTTCCGTTGTGACTGAACAAGCAATTCTGACATACATTTAATTTTTTTTCGTCTTGCCTGTGGAGACATGTCTATAAATTCTTGACAATAAAATAATATGTGGTCATCGTTGCAGTGTGGGCACTTGTACTTTGTGTTTGAAGAAGTAAATATCTTGTTACTTAGCGGTTGCGAAACCAGGGCGGCTCGATTGCTGACATAGGAATGTTTATTGTTATTTGATTTAGCGAAAGACTTTGTGTTGTAATTATTCGAATTGCTTGATTTTTGTGGAATATAATTTTCTTGCTTTTCCTGGCGGATTCCATTGACATAAAAGTTTGTTCTAGAAAATCAAAAAACTCTTGCATGTTCGGCAATTCTCGAGAGTTCTTTAAGGACTGGATATAGCCTTGATGAGTAAAGCGGGAGAAACGTTGCGCTTTGTTTCTTGTGCGGAAAAATAACAAGTCCAACCGTTAAACTTCACAGATTTGTAATTACTTCACAAACACAGTGTACATATATATTAAACAGTCACAACACAGCACAAGAGAGATAGAAGGAGAATAGTTAGACTGAATATAAATAATAATGAAGAAACAGAGACTAAGAGAGTAGGTATATGCAATGCAAATGTGAGCGAGCTAAGCCAGAGCGACATGCATTCAATGTTATAGTATGCCACTGACTCCCGGGCCGCGGCGGGCACGGGCGCATCACACCGTTCGCCGGCCGCTGCGCGGAGACCGAACGAACGACCGGTATAGACACCGATCGCGGCGCGCGCGTCATTCGCACTCGCTATACATAAAGAAATATGCATGTCTCTTTGTCGAACTCAAAATATTATTTCAACAAAAATTTTTATATTACTTATTAATGAAATTGAATATTTACATTATTATTAATATAGATTTTATATATATATGTAAAGGTTTGAATACACATAAATTTAACTTTAACAAAAATATACAATTATAAATTAATTTAAGTTAACAACAAGTAGCTACAATTATAAAAGTACGCTACAATGAGTTTCGTAGTCCAATTTTTGGCTTAAAATGTGCACTACTACGGGGTCCCATGTGGTAATATCGACCGGAAAAGTACACCCCGGCATCTACTGTTTTTCTTAAAAGTCCTGTACTTGATCATATTTATTTTGCGCAATATATGGGTATGTTTCGTCACATATATCTCGAACCTTAATAAGATTGCTGTGGAATTCATACCAATAAGCTTCCAATGTTTCAAGTCGCTTCTTGGTGTATACGGCAGTCTTTCGTTCCGCACCATCTTTTTTGAAGTTTCCACCACACCTTTCGAGATGATGATGTTAAATGATAGTTTGGTGATAAATTGATAACACCGATTATGTTGAAACTGTTATGTTTATTAGCACACGCGGTATATATGACGTCCGAACGTGAACTGATTTGCTTACGCTAATACAATTACATATTTACTAATCTAATATATAAAATTCTCGTGTCGCGGTGTTTGTGGTTAAACTCCTCCGAAACGGCTCGACCGGTTTTCGTGAAATTTTATATGCATATTCAGTAGGTCTGAGAATCGGATGTAATCTATTTTTCGTCCCCCAAATGTTAAGGGTAATCCACCCATATTTTTTTTTTTATTTTAGATATATATATATTTTTTATTTTTTTTATGATACAGCATTAGTAAATACACATAACCCTGAATTTTCAACCCTTTAAAATCAACCCCTATTTTACCATCGCGATTTTCATTTTTAATTATTTCTTTTTTTTTCTCAATTAAGTTTGATCTTCCGCCTTCACCGGTCGATAACCGATCAACGATCAATCGATCAGTTATCCCCGCTAGATGTCTACCTGGGTCACCTCTCATCCAGCAAAAATCACGGAGTAGGGATGAGAAGAAGCCGGTCTCCTGTCTTCCTCAATATACAGTTTTCGGCCATTTTTTTGGTTTCATTTGTGTATCGATCGTAGCAGTGACTTATACGTATTATTTTAATTTTTCTGTGCATCTATTCCGTTAATTTTACTCTCATCGTGAATTTATTATTAATTTCCAGTGCAATAATTATTTTTTCACATTTTATTAATAACTGATAAAGACAGTTTTAACTATTAGCCGAAACGGCTCGACCGATTTTTGTGAAATTTTATATGCATATTCAGTAGGTCTGAGAATCGGACAACATCTATTTTTCATCCCCCTAAATGTTAAGGGTGGTCCACACTTAAACATTATTTTTGGACCATCATCATACAAAAATACATACAACCCTAAATTTTCACCCTTCTACCACCAACCCGCTATATAGTAGGTATTTCTATAGATATTCAATATACGGATGGAGACATTGTAATGCTCCATACCTATATAAATAATTATAAAAAAGTGGCTTCAGACTTTCTCATTTCAGAACCAATACAATATTAAAAAAAGAACAAGCGCAAGACACAATAGAACGTGACGTAAGCAATATTCGTAAATGTTAAAAAATCGAAAATTTAATGCCGTAGAATGAAAACCGAGGTTCCCTAAGCGATGCGTGTGGAACTGAATTTTCTTTCATTGAATTTACGTCCTTCAAATTTGTTTGTGTAGCTTTTGTAAAATTGTTTTTTCGTTATATAGTGAAAAGCTCTTCCACTGTTTCCTTTTGTTTATTTGTTGTTAATTTTTCTTTATATTCTAGATATAAATGCTGATTCATTATATTTACATAGTATTTAATACACCCGTGTGAAGCCGGGACGGGCCGCTAGTAATACATAAAATTATAAATTGCCACGTAAGGAAATGTTTTAAAAGTTATAGTTATAGAAAAACTGGTTTTATTTAATGAGTGATGTGCGTGAAAACCTAAGAAACAAATATGTTATATTTAGTTTTAAGTTTAGAGAATCATGCCAGAATCGAAAATTAAGTAAAGATAAGTTGTACAATTTTAGGTTATTAAGAATACTTACTCAACCAATTCTGCCGTGATGGCAGGAAAATCACATTCTGGACAGGCTGTCAAGTCGTTCTTTACAATGTGTAGACCCTGTAATATCAAACAGGAGATTGCTGACTTGGGTCTCGAGGTTAGGTTGAAGTAGAAAGGTATACATCCCCGGCAAACTTCTTGAGCAAAGACCATATACAAGGAAGCCTGCGCAGTAGTAATTTTACATACAAAAACTACTTTTGCCCAAGAAGTTTACCTCTAGAGTCTGTGCGGAAAGAGAACGGGATTTAGATTTGAGGGCGCAGTAGTGCTTTTCCGTAATTGTAAGCTTTTACCCCTCTTAGATATGATTAAATACAAAAAACCGCAAGAAATCACAACAACAAACAAATTCGTATCAATACAAAACTTCGACGTTTGACAAATTGACATATAAAAATCTTAATTTTAGTTCCGTTTTTCGCCACGCCCATTCTCTTTCCGCACAGACTCTACCTATATCCAGACTCACAGAGGTGAGACCTCGCAGTGGGTACAGCGCAGATCAGTAGCGGGCAACATGTCCCCACGGACAGGACATTAATATATCTATCTATAGACATCTAGCTCGAAATCTCTTAACTACAAATAGTTTATTAGCAACAGGCCACTGTGCGGTGCAAGTAGCGCACTACGGGTCCTATCTCCTTGCTGGAGACTCCTGTGCGAATACGTTATTAGCTAGTAGACTCACCGAGGCGAGGCAGAAGGAAAGTGTATCACTTGCGCTACAATTTATGTGTTCTGTGTACGCTACGTGGTCTGGAGACTTCTATGCGGATAGGTAATTGTTGGCTAGTAGACACACTGAGGCGAGGCAGAAGGGCAGTATACACACTTGCGGTACCATCTACGTGTTCTGTGAGCGCTACGTGGCCTGGAGACTCTTATGCGGATATGTTATTGGCCAGTACTCACCGAGGCGAGGCAGAAGGGCAGGTCGGCCTCGCAGTGGGTGCAGCGCAGGTCAGCAGCGGGCAGCAAGTCCCCGCACACGGGGCAGGGGGCGGTCGGGCCCGCCGGGGCCGCGCTGCGGGGCAAGTGCCGCACTACGGACTCTATCTTCTTGCTGTACTTCGGATCTATCTGTGGACGATCGAACGAGCACCGATTCTCTACACCTAAACTTGATTTGACAATAGTCATCATAGTTAAAAAGATTATTTTTTAATCATATAACTGCTAGATGTTTAAATCTAAAGAAAATTTTACTAGAAAAAACTCCACGCGGACTAGGCAGCAGACGAGACTCGAACCCGCACCCTTCGCTATCCGGTCGTATTGTGATGTTAAATTCCCCTCTACTGCCCTCTCTTCGCTCACTCAGAGCACCGGGGGAACAATAAAAGAAAACCAAAAAAATTAAGATAATGTTATAAGTATATTTTATCCACTTTAGATACCAAAGCATAGGAATTCAGTAGTTTTAAGTTATTGCTTATATAAATCAACAAGTCTAACTATGTTTATTATTTATATAATAACTATGTTTCACTAATTATAAATATCTAAGCTGAATACAGTAGTTCAAAGTTAATGTGTATATAAACCAACAAGTTGTCATGAAAGGTTATAATTATATGAATATCAGACATTCATAACACTTTACCATGTACTTACAATATAATCCTTACTAATATATTTTATCCACAAATACCACATAGACTAGACTGAATAAGCTATTGAGTGGATTTCAGAGGTTCTACGGCTCGTTTGATCGATATTGGTGACAAACTTAGTTAATTCTAGTTCTCAGTGAGATAACCAGTTATATAGGTATATGTAAATATATGGAAATGGGCAAGTCGGGGTCCAACCTCGCCTGGAGGTTCCTTTTCACGTTCACCCGGGGTTAGTAGAGAAATACCTTGATTATGATAGGTTAAGCTGTGTATAATCTGTCTGCTGTTCGGCCGGGTTACATAAAACCGGAGAGCGGCTGGCAAATAAACTCCCGCGCCCCTTCTGGTCCGTGCACAGAACAAAAGTCTCCTTGTTACTCCTCCAGTATTTCTTGAGGGGAACGTACAAGCCGTTCGAAATATGAAACTATCCGTAAGTATTTTGTTTCCTATCACAAGTTACCGCCTTATTATTGCAATCGCCTTGCGAAGGTTCGTGTTCGTCCACCTACGAAACTCAGTTCGGTTAGCGACTCCGCGCTTTTTCCGCCAATATCCTTCGGGATATAAACTTTTCGGATCTATCTCACGACTTCGACGACAATAATATGCCGTTTATTATACTTTGGGCAGAAGAAAAGATGAAAAGTTAACTGTACCACAAACAGATTGTGAAATTTTAAAAGTTGTTTTGACAATTGCTCATAGATGATAGACGGATCGTCTACTCCCAAACATGTGTCTATGATTTGTTTCCCACTTCAACTGAAGGCAAAGGCCACAGTCAAACAGACAGCCGCCGCATTCGAGACGAACCGAAGAATAAACTCAAAACTATATACCTACGCTCGCCGTAAGCTGAGGAAAAGGGAATACCTACCCAAATCAGCGAGGAAATTCAATTTCGAGTAAAATTCAAAATCGATTAAAAACAGCACCCGATAATGAGGACTCAAATCGATCTGGGAAAGACTATTCAAAATTCAACAACTGTCAAACTCCATCCATTCATCCACGCGCCCCCACAGAGATTCCCCGCCTGATTACTTTTTTTTTTTTTTTTTTTTTTTTTTTTATAAGTCTCAAGGCGAATATTTTAGTCGAATAGGAAAATCGACTCTTCCCTCAAGGCTACCAACCCAATCAATGAAGTTTGACAGCTACGCTGACGTAAGCGGTTCGCTATCATAGACAAAACAGCTGTCCTACGTGTGTCAGTGTCACGCTCTGTTTAAAAACAAACACTACAGTATCCCCCTACTCACGGCAGAATTCACGTAGGGAATTCGTCGAACGCCCTCGTTCGTATATCCCCATGTCTTATGTACTTTAGTTAAGATATGATTAAGTTATGTTGTATAAAATAATAGAATATTATAAACCGCTAAGTTAAAAAAAAATAAACATACAGAACGATAAATCATTGATAAATCTCTAAGTTGTCACAAAAATAGATAATAATAAATGACAATAGTAACACAAAGTGTATACCACTCAAGGCCGTACCGCAAGCATCTTTGCTCCGAAAATAGATATAATAAAAAAAATTATAATGTTACCAGTTATACCGCGAAAAACATAATGGTAGAAAATTAACCAAAGAGATGTTATTGGTCAAAGGCGATTTGCTCACAAAATTACATGTTGTGCGTTCGTCCATCGTGTGTCTCATTTACTGTCTCCCGAGAGAAATAAAAAAAATATCATAAATATTCTATGCTCATCATAGGATATTATGATAAAAGTTGTTGTTAATACGTTTTCATTTGTATTAGCAACTTCAATAAAATGCCTTGGTAGGTAAAAAACTAACAAGCACATTAACAAAATGTTCTCCTGGAAAAGTTAAGAGACAATTAAGTGTTTAAGCATTAATTAGGTGGCAAACAAAGAGATCACACTATCGGGGACGAACACACACATGGGTATCTAGGATGCAGTGTGATACCAAGACCCATTGACGATTTCTACGTCACGCCGGGCAGAAGGCGGAATGGGTATTCGTCGGCCGCCACATCCACGGCGATAAGTCCCTACCTAAATATCTATTCGGGGTCAGCGCTTTTGAAATCTTTTATATGCCATTTGCCTACATACTTCCCGTTTTCGTCTTCGAGCTCGTAAACGAGTGGGGAGAGTTTACGGATTATTTTGCAACGTTCATATTTCGGTGCAAGTTTGACTGAAAAGTATTTATGAGCCGCGCTTTGTTTATACGTCCGTTTCCAAATGTAATCGCCTACGCTAAAGGAAATATCCCTACGACGCCTGTTATAATATTTAACGTTCCTATCGTGGGCTTTTCGCAGTGAGTCCTTGACCTCTTTAAAGATTTCACCTAAATGACCCAGATTAGACGCATGAGTATCCCGGGGTACTATCACTAACTCGTCAAGATCGTTGAAACCGGCATAAATACTACCATCGGTCACAGCCTCCCTACCATGAACTAACATAAACGGAGTATATGACGTGGATTCGTTCACAGAGGTGTTCATAGCGAACTGGATCTTATGAATATTCACGTCCCAAGATCTATGGTCATTTTCAACGAACGAGGCCACCGCAGTGATGACAGTACGGTTATAACGTTCGACAGTGTTAACCTGAGGGCAATACACAGGACCCAAATGGACTTGTGGTATATTATATTTGGCATACAAAGATTGAAGTTCATGGCTTACAAATTGCGATCCGTTATCGGAGATCACGGTTTGAGGTATACCATGAATCAAAAAGACATGATCCTCCAGTCGCTGAGCAATCACCCTACCCGTAGCTCGACGTAAAGGAAATAATAAACAATATTTTGTAAAGCAACACACTACTACCAGCAAATAGTTGTTTTGCTGTCTGGACATCGGCAGTGGGCCAACTAAATCGATGCTGATGCACTGGAATGGCCGACAGCAAACTTTAGGTTCTCCCATGAACCCAGGAGTTGCCAGTGAACTGTGTTTGTATGCGTTGCAAACCGAGCAACTCTTAATAAAATCCACGGTATCCTTATACATACCGGGCCAAAAATATCTTAATTTTAAACGTTTATAAGTTTTTGCCACACCAAGATGAGCCGCGATTGGTTCAGAGTGGTTCTGTTTAATTATAGATTCCCTACTCTCAATCGGGATAACCTGTTTCCACTGGTAATCACCACTGAGCTTATTACTACTTTTTGTGAAACGGTATAACCTACCATCAACTATCTGAAAATTTGGACAAGCTCTAGGTTTGTCCGTACAACGTTTAATTATATTATTATACCACGAGTCGGCTGTGGCGTCAGTGATACCTATAGATGCCACGGGAACAGAGCGGGATAACGCGTCAGGTACCACATTTTGTGAGCCACTGCGATGTTCTATTACAAAATTATAGGGTGATAATCTACAACCCCAACGCGCCAAGCGACCGGTCGGATTTTTAAGCTTCAGAAACCATTTTAGACTAGCATGATCGGTAATAACACGAAATGGCCTACTACCCTCCAGATAGGGACGGAAATGCTCGACTACATGTACCACAGCTAAAGCTTCCCGCTCGGTAGCCGAGTAATTTCGCTCGGCGTGGGTAAGTGAGCGACTACAATACGCGACCGGATGCTCCTGGCCGTCTACGGTTTGGGTGAGGGTACCTCCAATGCCAAAATTGGACGCATCGCAATGAACTGCAAATTCCTTCGTGAAGTCCGGACATGCCAAAACTGGAGCACTTGTAAGAGCCGACTTCAAGTCCAGAAATGCTTGCTCTGCCTCATCCGACCATTTAAAGGGAGGAGCACCCTTACGCGTAGAAGTGAGAGCATTTAATGGCCCGGCCATATGGCTAAAGTTTTTAATAAATCGCCTATAATATGATGCAGTTCCCAGAAAACGTTTCACCTCCTTTCTATTAGCGGGTATGGGAAAATCCACAATAGCTCTTATTTTATCGGGATCGGTACGCAAACCATATTCATCAACCACGTGACCCAAATACTTCAACTGTCTTCTAAAGAATTGACACTTCCCCATATTAATAGTTAAATTAGCCTCCAACAATCGATCTCTGACTTTACGTAGAATATCAAGATGTTCGGACATAGCAGGCGAGGAAGTTAAAATTATTAAATCATCCAAATAAATGAATATTTTATGGTTATCCGGGTTAAAATCTGGTGACCCGGATCCCAACAGCTTATTAAACTCCGGCCCAAACAAACTATCCATCAAGCGCTGCTGAGTGGCAGGCGCTGAGGTCAAACCGAAACACATGACCTTAAATTGAAATAGCCCGCGGGAGGGAATAGTGAATGCGGTCTTTTCCCGGGAATCCGGTGATAATAATACTTGATGGTATGCCGATTTAAGATCGATTGAAGACAGGAATTTCGCGTCACGGAGCTGGTCCAGGATGCTACTGATATACGGCAAAGGATAGGCGTCATGCTTTGAAATCGCGTTGAGTTTCCTACTGTCCAAACAA